ATATTAATTACTACTATATCAAAATATAGTACAAATTAAAATAAAATGACAAAAATACTTCTATTAGTGTCTTACTCCTCCATCCCACTTATCATGTCCTTTCCATTTCGTATGTCCCATATATTTTGTCACTTTTCCTTTTTGGCAAAGAATTATACACTTTAATCTTATTTTAAATTTTTTAATGTATAATTTAATTACAATAATTAGTTATTTTTATCTTAAATTTATAATTAATTTTACTATACGATAATTATTTTTATTAATACACTTTTAATTAGTTAGTAATTATACTTTTTCTAAATTCTTGTGTCTATTGTAAAGTAGACATCATACTTGGAACAGAGGGAGTATAATACTAATATAATGACACTTGTATAATAAATTATACAAATATAAAAATAATTTTAATGTTAAATGTAATAACGTAAAAGGTAAACGTAATTCTTGCAGGCGAACGAATGAAGTATTATCTTTTAGTCTACAGAACCCAAATGATTCATTTTGATTGAGACATAAAAGTTAATTGACTGTATTCTTTTAAATTTTAGTGGTTCGTTTGTTTAGTATTTTAGTTGAAGATATTTATTATGTGAAATATAAGAAATTGAACATGTAATATAAAAAATAATATTTTATATTAAATATTAATTTTTTTTGTAAAAAAATATAATACTATATATATATTAAAAATACTATCAAAATTTTTTTGGGCAAGCAAATCCTTGGTGTGTTTGTTTGTGGGTTTTGATTTTTTTTTTTTACCCAAACACGCACACCTCACACTTCGGCAGGAATTTCACCCAACACATGCACAACGCATCCACCCAAAATCGAAATAAGATTCAACCCTCAAGTGAGGGATGTCTCACCGTTTGATCTATAATGGTTTGACTTGTGGGTTTGGATTTTTGGATTTGGATTTTTGAATAGTAAAAATTTGAAGTAAAATAGTTGTTTGACGTGATATAAATAGATGTTGATTTGATATTTTAAATATAAAATGATTTTTACTATAATATAAAAAAAATAATTATTTGATTTGATATTTTAGAAAAAAAAAAATATGAATTATAAAAATATATTGTAAAACTTACAAAAGAATTATTTTAATAATAGTTTAATTTTAATATTTTATAAAAAAAAAAAGTAATATATATTTATAATAAATCTCGCATAATTGTATAATAAAATAATCAATACTAAATTCAAAAGGTACAAATTATAATGTCTCGTAAAAGTAATATACTAATGTGGTTGAACTCGAGACTGCAACATGATTAGTTCAAAATCTTTCAAATAATTATGGGGCGAGTCACTATGCCGGGAATGGTAAGAATAGAACATGTTAAAAGGGGCTTTGAAAAAAATGGCCTAAGTCAATTTAAAATTGTAGCCCTCAAACCAGTTTTGAAAACTACTATATTTTTATATTGTAGTAGTTTTCGAAACTTCTAGACTTTTAAGTTTAGAAGTTTTCAAAACTTCTAAATTATTAAATATAGTAGTTTTCAAAACTATTACAAATATATTTATTAAAAATAAGAATATAAGCCCTAAACCTCATTCTCCCTCAACCTTTCTTCTCCGCAACGACGCTGTGAGTTTTCTCCCTCAACTTTTCTTCTGCGTGACGACGCCGTTCTTCTATGGTAATTGATTTTCAAAATTTGTTCTCTTTCATTCTATTTTGTTTTTATTGTTGGTTTGGAAAATATTGGTTGGCGGATATTGTAATTTTTGTATTTTGTTTGTTTTCATATTTGTCTGAATCTCACTTTTCTTTTTTTAAAATCAGCACCTCTTTTTATATCTTTGATTTCCTATCGGATTGTTGAAAAATTTTGAAAGTTGCTTCAATCCAGATTCATAAGGTATTATCCTATTATTTTTATTTATTTATTTATTTTTTAGTATTTCTTATTGTATAATCATATCATTTTCAGAATTTTTATTTATCATATTTAAATTTTTTATGGTATATATATTTTTTCTAATTTTTGTAATATTGCATATTATATTGCCATATTTATGTTTATACCATCTTATGTGAATGAATTTTCTTCATAATTTATAATTAGTTTTTTGTAATTATTTTTTGATGATTTATAGATACTCAAGAGTAGACATCTATTGGCATCTACTGGGCATTTACAGATATCCAAATGTTAGTGCATCAGTTTGTACAAGAATACATAAGCCTTTGATTTCATTAGTTCTTGGTATGAATAGGAGGTGTGTGGATTTCAATATAAGCATTATTTATATTTATATATATATACTAAATTAAAATCACATATCTTTAACATATATGTTTAATTTGGAATGTCGACAGTGTTTTGTGATATTTTCATATCGGGAGGGATTGCCTGGCCCCAGTAACAATTGTCTACTTCATCTTCAATCTACACACCGTTCTGAGCATATTTGGAATGGTGAATTAACCGATCATAAGTTTAGTCTTGTTTGTTCGGAAAGATATTGGACTAGTATATCTATATTATGTCATCCTAGGGTCCTCGAGATATTAAATCATATTGGATTTTATGGAGCATATAGAGTTGGACATGTTAGACATGATCCTGGTCTTTTGATCGCATTAGTTGAGCGATGGCGTCCTGAAACACATACATTTCATTTCACATTTGGCGAGGCAACAATTACATTAGAAGATGTTGCTATGATATATCAGTTAGCCCTCGATGGTAAACCTGTTGTCAGTGATGCCACATCTCGACAGACCATAGAGCACTCTTCAAATATTTGTATGGATTTGTTACAATTGTCTCTTGACCCAGAATATTTCAAGCATGGACCATGGATTTTGCACTCTACTTTAGAAGATCATTTGAAGAGTGTTGAGTTTCAAATCGATAATGATAGTCCCGAAGAAAAAGTAGAGTGTTGGTCACGTGGATTTATGCTATTGATGATTATGGGTAGTATACTTCCGACTTCAGATGGTAGTAGGGTCCGGTTGATTTACTTGTCATATCTGCAGAAACTTGACATTTCTGATAAGTATAGTTGGGGAAGTGCTTGCCTTGCATGTCTATATCATAATCTATGTTTAGCAGTTATTGGAGTAAAAAGAAAAAAGCTTAGTGGCCCCCTCACATTGTTGCAGGTAAATTCATATAAATTGACATCTTAAATTTATTTAAGAACACTATTTTTGTTGTTTAAGTATTTTTTTTTCTAGATTTGGGCATGGTCTTGATTAAATATGTTGGCTCCTCGAATTAAATCAATAAACTCTACTGTTGTCGATCCTCAAATGCTTGCTAATGGTGTAATGCTTCCTGCTGCGCCTTACGGAGCTAGGTATTGTGATTTAATAGTTCTTAATTAAAATATTTTTTATTTTTAATCCTCAAATTGTATTTTGTTATTATAGATGGGCTCGAGGTAAACATGATTTTACTCCAACTGTTCATGGTTGTGTAGCTGTTATACGTGACATTCTTGATCATGAAGGAAATGGACAGGTATTTTAATAAACATTTCAATAATTATATAACTCTTATGTTATAATTTTTTAATATAAATATATTATATTTTTGGTGCAGTTTAATTGGTGGCCTTACGAGCCCAATTTATACGATAGTTTACCACATTCTTGTCTTTCAACTTTATTCCGTTACCAAGGACCTTTGTTATATGAACGATGTATTGAACATCATTTCATAGATAGAGTGCTTCGGCAACTGGGCTTAGTTCAACATATTCCAGATAACCCATCAGTGGTAGAGAATAGGAATACTCATAGTTCTTCTCAGGGATCCGGCACAAAGAATTGGTTGAAAACTTATAAGATATATATTCAGCAATGGAATCAACCTAATTTAGTGAATGGGCAGTCGGCCTTGCATGATATACCTCATACTCCAGAATATTTGCAATGGTTTAGAACACATTCGAGACGGTTTATCAACAATCCAGAGTCGCGTACACGGGCCGGTTATCCAACTGGACTACCATCTTACAATCATTTTGCGATATTTTAGTTCTCTTATTCTTTATATATTTAAATACATCCTAATTATTTATTCATTGTGCACATGATATTTGGTGTAGGTGAACCAATTAAGGCGTTGTACACAGGTAGGAGACCTCAATCTTGTACAAAATGCCATTGATGTTGCAGATGATCGAGCTAATTGGATAGTTGAGTCGTACGAAACTACTTTCGTACATGGTGATCAGCCTCAACTAAGTCCTGAGTTGTATATTCCTGTTGATTCTATTGATGTACATGAGAATGGTGGTATATGTGAAAGTTCACCGTCATTGGCTTTAGGAGCGGATAATATGCAATCACAAGAAGATGAGGTCTTTCATAACTCTCCCATTGGTACGAATATTGGTGAAGTTTTCCATTATGTACGTCAATCATCCCAGCCTGAAACTCAACGAATTCTCCGTAGAAGTACTCGCCAAAGTCATCCTCCAGATTGTGGCACTGGTGGTCACAAAGGACATCGATGATGTAAGTATAATTTCATTTGTTATTTTCTTTAATTCGTTATAATAAAGCGTATTCCATTTGAACTTTCAGGTAGTTCGATTGCAGCCGATGACTGCAACACCATCTGTTTGGTTGAAGCTTTTTGTATCGAATGTGGCATTGGGTTTTAGTACTTACATGTTGATATTACTGTTGGAAAGTAGGGTATAGTTGCAACTAATGCATGGTTGGTATGTTTCATTGAAAATTTAGGTATGTGAGTTGCTGTCATCAGATGTTGTGTATTTGTGTTTTGGGAAGAATTGGTTAGTGTGGCTGCTGGTGTTATATTTATATTATTGCTAAGTTTTCACGTCAGGTTAATTGTGGTAGTTTGGCATTCCCTTTTTGTATTTTTATTCAATTACAACCTATGATATTGATTTCTATTATGGATTATTGTGCAGTATGTCATCAAACTGCATGTATACCTCAAACTTTAACTATGAAATGAAATATAACAGAAAAAGAAAAAATAGAACATGCAGGTCAGTAATGTTCTGTGGTATAAACATAACATGCAGGTCAGTAAGCCATGGAAACTTCAATGTACCAACATTATATGTAAGCTAATAAAATGACTCGCTACAAATCAGAAACTCTTCTATGCAGCCGATGTTCGAAGCAGCTCATGTAGCCTTTTGCATCTGATTATTTGGGCATGCCTTTGAAAGACAACCGGGCTTCAAGGAACCAAGCATTACATTATTATTTACAGTTAACTATGCAAATTATAAACCATTGAGACTTTGTAATATAAAGTTCTCGAATACCTCCATGTTTGTTTTTGCTTCAATAAAATTCATACTTGAATCCTTATATTGCAATAAAATCACTTGCATCCTACCTGTTTCATTATGAACGTATTAAACAAATACAAAATAATATAGCTATATTAGATTAAACTTTTTTCAAATGAGAAAATATCCATTAAAAATAAAGTGTTAATTAGTTTGATTAATGAGTATAATAAACCTTATATTAAATATTTTTTATTTGATAAAATGTTAAATTAAAAGTTAAAATATTTGTTATTTTAATTTTTAAATATTAAATTTTTTATTTATTGATATTATTTAAAAATAATAATAATAATTGTATTTATTGTAAATCAATACATGCATTTAGATAAAAGCAATAATAACAATTTTAATAACTTAAATGTAATTTATACAATACCGTAATTAAAAATAAGTTTATAATTTTGCTTTATTAATAATTTCGTGGGACGACTAAAAAAGGAAAAGTGGACTAATTTCGTGGGACAGGGAGAGTATTACTTATGATTTAAAAAAATAACATAGATATATTTTTACCTTAATTTTCATTTGCTTGTCGCCTTGCTTGTTTCTGGCCACGATCCATTTCATTCCGAATACGTGTAGTGCGATCACCTCCTCTTCTCTTAATTTTACGTCGCGAAGGATTATGCACCAACTTAAATGAGGCTGGTTCCCAAAGTGACTTATCCGGATATGCATGGAAAGGGACGATGTACGTGTTTATCCATGAATCAATCGAATAATAGTCACGCACATATCGCTTTCCATTCAAATGGAACATACGACATGTTTCTAAAATGTGTGAACATGGCACCCCATCTAACGCCCATCCACCACATGAGCAAAAATCTCTCTTGATTGAAACAATATGTTCCTTTGATCTCTGGCCAATACTGTCTAGTGTAAACACTTTTGCCTCATATTCATCCTCATTTATCACCACACCCATATTTTTCCGGCTCTTCCGCTCCGAGTCTATATATCTTGTTCGTGCCCAAGGTGACCATTCATAGCCGGATTCTTGTTTATCTCGAGTATCATGCACCCTCTTAACAAAAAATGAAACCACACGATCGTATGTCAACTGTACGAGAGCAGTGATCGGTAGTCGTCGTGCCCCTTTTAATACACCATTAATGCATTCGGACAAATTGGTTGTTAGTATACCATGTCGCCACTCTTCGTCATATGCAATGGCCCATTTGCTCTTGTCAATTCTGTTAAGCCAATCATAAGCTGCTTGATTTAGAAGTTGTTTCATTAAACTCCAATGGATCAATGGATGCCCCTGCCCTCCAACACATATCCTTCAGTCTTACATCTTTAACGTATTGGTTGAAGTTGGAACATACATGTCTAAGGCAAAATCGATGTCGGCCACGAGGAGGGTGGAAAACAGGAATACGCTCAACTGCACTTGTTATCCCAACATGTCTATCAGATATGAGACACATGTGATACCGATCCTGCACAATATATCTACATACAAAATACAAAAATTTATGTTATTGACAAATATTTCAAAAATTATGAATTACAAACTTATTAGAATGTCATACCCGCTTACTAACTGAAGAAACCATAACCAAGATTCAGTATCAACAATGGCAAATGCTAATGGCAGCACATGGTGGTTAGCATCTATAGTAGCGGCAATCAACATCACATGCTTGTATTTTGCATATAGATGAGTTCCATCCACACTAATCACATTACGACAATGACGATAAGCTTCAATGCAAGGTCCAAATGCCTAAAACACATAGCCAAGTGTGTACTCTTCTCGATGTGCCGTTTCTACATGTGACCACTCAACAATAGTATTTGATACATACTTTTGAAGAGTTTCCATATAGGTTGGGAGTTCTTGCACTGAACTCTCCCATGTCCCATAAACATCTTCAATAGCCCTTTTCAAGCCATGCTGGCCTTTGAATAAGAAATATCAAACCCAAATTCTATCTTCACCGCTCTCTCCACATTTTCTAACTCATATGCCGGATTTCTTCTTACAAACTCTTTTAGTAAATTTGCTATCATGTTAACATCCAAGTTTCTGTGTCCCAACGATACATCATCTGGGATACACGTGTGGTCGGGCATCACCGTAATTAACTGCCAACATTCTAAATGTGGTTTATATGATGCAGTCACACCCCACCCGCAACCATTTTTTCCGTAGTGCTTACACTTTACTCTGAAGACCATACGATTGCTCTTTGTCACAATATATTCCCTCCCAACCACACGAATTGAATAATCCTTAACGGCCATTTGCATTTGTTTTTTATCTTTGAATACCATCCCAGAAATAAGAGCACCACTACTTTTTGTGTAAACATCCCATCTACGATTGAAAGTGCCATATGTGTCTTGTTGAAACTCCTCCTCAGGCAACTTCTGAAAATATTCAATCAACTGATATTCATTTTGACTACCTGAATGTAGAATTGTACCTGATTTAGGAGATCCCGATGGCCTTGACTCTTTCCATAATGCAGTAGCATCCACAACCCCTTTTTCACAATTTCCAAATATCTCTATTTCATCATCTGAGCATGAAATTGATTCTGATTCACTAGATTTATCTTCTCCAACTCCTTGACAATCTGCATCTAATATGTGTATATCATCTTCTGTTTGCTCAAGCCTTATGTTGGGATTCACATATGTTGTCTCTACAACCGCACTTGTATCATTCAGTTGAAATTCAACAAACAACTCCAAACATTGATAACTATTTTATAGATTTAAAAAGTGCTGCAGATTGAAGTCATTCATAGTAATAAGTCTCATTCTCTGATTATCTTATCCATTCGTCCAACTATAAGGCATTTTCAAAATCAGAGAATATTGCATCCGATTTTTTCCAGTCAAATTGTAAATCTAACTTTCTAAATCTTCAAATGTACTATCTCGCCGAACAACTGTCATACACTGTGGATCACAATCATATTCTACTGTATCCGACTTTCGTATAATGTTACCATCCCAATATAGCAGAATATCAATATTGCTCTGGCCACTATTCATCATCTGTTTCTGTAAAATAAAAAATATATTAAATAAATACTAATAAGAATAAAATTAATATATTATAAATATAAGCCATATATAAAAATATTAAAATAAAAAATAGACATAAATACATTATGCATTTAAATAATATATCAATATAAACCTTACAAATAATACCAAAAAACACCTAAGAAGTTATAAAATTACAAAAAAAAACACAACAATCACTAAACAATAAATACCTGAAAATACAATGCAAAACATAATATTGCCTACCAACAATATAAAACAAAATATTATATGAAAACTATAAAATAATTTAGTCAAACAAATAATACTTGAAAATGTCTCTCTTCAACAAACGTTTTGCTTGAGGAATGAACAAGAATAAAATTAGCATAGAAGAATTGAAGTGCAGCAAAACCGTGAGGTAAATTAAGATTAAAAATATAGAAGTTCTCAAAACTCCTATAATAAGCAATATAAGAGTTTTTATAACTATTTTTCATAAAAATAGTTTTTTAACCTCTTACATTACCAATTATAGTAGTTTTGAGAACTCCTATAATTTCCCTATGCTTAATGGCAGTGTCACAGACAGTACGAGGTAGTTGAGAGAAAGAGTGAGAGTTCTTGAAACTACTATTTTTTATGTTTTAGGTGTTTTGAAAAGGTATATAATTTTAGATCCAAAGAGTTTAAAAAACTACTACAATATAAAAATATAGTAGTTTTCAAAACTCGTTTGAGGGCTAGAATTTTAAAATACGGTTTGACTTAGGCCATTTTTTTAAAAAGCCCCATGTTAAAGGCCCGTTTGGATGGGTTTCTGCCGGCTGTTTTTGGTTTCTGCTTTTAAAAAAAATACTTTGTATCTATTTACATTGATTTTTGTCCAAAAACAAAAGTTGCTTTTTAAGTTGAAAAGTATTTTTTTTTTTTGTTAAAATTACTATTTTATCCTTAATAATAATATATTATAAAATAATTAATTTATATATTATATTTTTAAAAAATTACAAATATAATTATATTATTATTTTTAATTTATGTATAATATTGAATTAAAATTTAAAATTATAATTGAGATACTAAATTTAAATAGAAATATATAATTTTTTTTAATTATACTAAAATTATTAAATATAAATTATAATATTTTAAAAATAAATTGAAAATTACGAATAATTTAATACTTCTATTATATTGTAATTTTTATTTTTAATTTATATATTTTTAAAATTAAAATTTTAAAATATAAATAATTAAATTTTAAAAATATATTTTTTATACTTTTATTTAAAATATTTAAATATAATTAGAAAATTTTAAAATATATATATAATTTTTATAGAAAAATACAATTATATTTGCAGCATGTCTTTTTGAATAATTTTAACAATTTAAAAGCACTTTCACCTCTATTATATCCAAACATATTATTTTTTTATAAAAAAATATTTTTATTATTATTAATCCCAATACAAAATCAAATTGCTTCTACTCTTGACTTTTGATTATTTTTTAAAGCCAATTCAAACAGCCCTAAATTAACTGATCAATTTGGTATGATAAATTTAGACTTATTATCACAAAGTCACAAATGGGAAAAATCCATTTAACACTTTGACAAACTCTATCGAAAATATATTTTTAAAATATTTGAATCTATAATCTTGCAGTTATTCCGTCGCCACGCCAATGCAGTTATTATTTTCTCTCTAAAAAAAAAAAAAAAAGAAAAAACCCTTAAAAAAAAAAAAACCATATTTGTTTGGATTCTGAAATGTGCTGAGGTGTTGTACAACACTTCTTGAATGAAAATATAAATTTTAAAATAAAAAATACTCCATATACAATATTTTAATTAAAAAAATAAACAATACATTATATTCTCCTTTATTTATCTTTTTATTTTGATATCTTCCATAAAAAAATATTTATTTATTTTTAGTAATTATACTTTATATTAACGTTAAAAATATCCTTATAACTTACAATATATTACACAAATGTCATTATTTTTATATCATACAACACTAATAAAGTTATTTTAGTTTCTTATACTTTATTCGTACAACAACCAAATATAATATTCCCTCCGTCCAATAACAAAGTATCAATTTCCTTTTTTTAGTAACTGTACTATCTACCTAATATTACAAATACCCTTACAACTTACAATATATTACACAAATGTCATTACCTTTATATTTTAGTCATTTCTACTTTATTCATACTATATTCCAATATAATACTAATATTTCTAAAACTACGTGCAAAAACCATATGAATATTTACTTATGGGACAGAGAGAGTACTTATATTCCTAAAACTCCGTACAAAAAACAAACAGATAGATAGATAAGAGACCAAATATATACTCCCTCCGTCTACATTCAAAGGGTGTGTTTGTTTGAGAGATTTGTTTGGATTTCAACTGTTCATCCTATTTTTTTTCCCCCAAAAACATCAAATCAAACACTTATTTTTTATTTTTATATTATACTAAAAATTAATTTTACATTCAAAACATCACATCAACACCTATTTATATCACATCATACAACTATTCAAATTCAAAATTTTTACTATTCAAATCCCAACTCAAAATCCAAACCCTCGAACAAACACACCCAAAGTAAACATTTACTTTTTGCGCGGTGTTTAAGAAATAATAATATTTTAATTATAGTAAATAGTTAAAATACCCTTACTTTTTGGTATAAAAGTAATGATGTGATGCAAAATAATGATATTTTTGAAAAAAAAGTAAAGCATTTAATGAAATATTTACTTTGTAATTAAATTTTCAAAATGAAAATATGTATACCTATTGAACAAAATGAAATACTTCTTCCGTCTCATAACTATGTATTTCTTTGTTTTTTGCACGGAGTTTTAGAAATATTAGTATTATATTGGAATGTAGTAGGAATAAAGAATAAATGACTAAAATAACCTTATTAATATTGTGTGATATAAAGGTAATGATATTTGTGTAATATATTGTAAGTTGTATGGATATTTGTAATGTTAGGTAGGTAGTATAATTACTAAAAAGGAAATAGATATTTTGTTATTAGACGAACTAAAATAAAAAAATAGATATTTTATTATGGAATGGAGGAAGTAATAATAAATATAATAATAAAAAAGAAACATAAACAAGCACATATTTGTGTAAATAAAAATATTTTAGTGATCAGTGAAAGTATGTAAAAAAATTTAATATTTTACCTTTTAATTATATATATAAAATAATAAGATATGTAATAATATACTTGTAATTTAAATAGAAATTAAAAATATTTTGATATTAATATATAATCAATTTTATTAAAATAAAAAAAAATATTTTTCAACGAGACAAATAAAATTAATAAAAAGTATTTTGAATTGAAAAAAAAAATTATTTAATTTATCCGCCAATTTTTCTTTTTTCATTTATATATAAAGTTTATCTCATTATTAATTCTAATAAAATTAAAAACTGAACATTTACTTTCTACCATTGACACAATTTTTATTATTCATCTTCTAATTTTCTTTGATTATTAATTAAATTTTCAAAAAAAACCCAAAATATCTTTTTATATTTCTCATCTTTTAAACAAAAATAAATATATATTTTTATATTTTCTCGCCGACCCAATAGTTATCTTAACCATATACATTACATATATATATCATATATATTTTAAATTACATATTTTATATTTAAATAATATTAGAACACAATATTAAAACATTGGGGCGTATTTGTTTGAAAATTTGAATTTTGAATTGAATTAGAATAGTTGTAATGTAAAATTAATTTTTAATATAATATAAAAATAAAAAATAGATATTTTATTTAATATTTTTGAAGAAAAAAAAATATGAATAGTTGAAGTCTTTAGAAATCTTATAAACAAACACACCCCAAACACAAATTTATCTATTTAAATAATATAATAAATAGTACTCCCTCTGTCCCAAACAATCCGCAACATTGGTGTGTCCCAACACTCTGCAACATTTCTAAAATAAAAAAATAATTAATTATACGTAATCTCTATCCTACACTTTATCCCCTCGCATCATCCAAATAAAAAAATAAAATATATATTTTTCTCTCCATCACACACCGTACAAGTAGATGAATTAATTTTTAGTGTATAATATAAAATATTATATCAAAAGTATAAAATATATTATTTTTGACTTATTGTAACGAGTATACGGAGGTTTTTTTTTTTTTTTTAAGAATTTTAATATTGTTTATTATTGTTTTTTAGAATTCAACTGCTAGAACATAGTGATTATTTTGCAAGAAAAAAAAAAGTAGATTTTTGCAAAAATTGAATAATAAAGAAGTTAAGAAAATTTTCCAAGCAATGCCTCTGATTTGTTACCTTTAAATTGAATCTATATTGCACACTCACACTTGCTATTATCAAACAAACCATCATCATCTTCCAATTTAAGCATTTCAAACATAACTTCACCCCAAAGAACATTTGTTTTTTAAGGAAAGATCAAGTAAATGAACCCAGAGTTTAGAGTCTCATCCTCTGTATTTTGAGTGCAGTTTTGTCCAATAAAGCTCAAGATATTACCAGCTCAATTCCATATTTTTAATTTTTTTAGAAAATTACTGCATAGTATAGACACAGGAGAACAAGCCCAAAGTTTAGAGACAAAATTAATCACATAACTTCTAACCTCATCACTGCAATTTTCGCAATGCCTGTTCCTTGTCAAGACCCTTCTCAGCCAGTTAGAGAATACATAAATAGACATACATACATACATATATATATATATATATGAGAGCGAGAGAGAGAGGATACCTATGAGTAGAGGTTGTGCAGAGAAAAGAAGCTTAGTGAACCATAGGAAATTATTCAGCCTCTAATGCCGTGGCGTCCTTTTGCACAATCTACCATCAAAAAATTAAAAAAACTCCATTATTGAGAAGGTCGATGTAGATCAATAAAAACTTTAAGTATACATAAGGTACTGACAAACAATGAGAATGAAAGCACAAATGATAAATTTCGCCATACTAACGAGTTTTTTGCTTACAAGCATGCAATAATAATTGAATCAGGCAACGCCAAAACGAGCTTAAATAACAAGATTCTCAATCACAAGCAACAGACAATTTTTAGGGCTCAAACTTGGAAAATAAAATAAACTCATAACCTTATGTATTTCTATAAATTGCTGACTTCTTTTCCATTCAACGAACTCCATCTTCAAGCCAATCACTTATTTATGTCATTACCCATGTATATATAGAGTACTAATGGTGCTCAGATTTAAAAACGACTCAAGTCGAGCACAGGTCAGAAGCTCCTTGACTAATGCATCACCCCTAGATTAAATTTGGATAAAATCCAAGTGGAAAGTCATAAGAAAGGTTTGACTCCAACATTAAATATGAGAAAAATAGATTAGAATGTTAAAGGCAAACATTTGCCATGCTCGAGGAATTCATTTGCTGTGGAAGTTAAAAAGGAGACAAAAATTGAATGCCAGAGGCAAATATTTCGTCAGAGCATCATAAGAACTAAGAAACAAGTATAAAGTTATACCTGAGATACGTAATCTTTGATCTTGTCATAAACTGCTCCATCTAGAGCTCTCTCTGCAAGTTCATAATATAGAGTGGTACCTTCTGGGCCACTGACCTTTTCTTTCTGCAAGAATCTACAGCACAAAAAAAGTTAAAGATAATACATGAACATTATATTAATCGTTACATCCAATCAATTGGACAAAAAAATTGCTAATGATCACCTTTGTTGGACAAGTGTTTCTAGTGCAAGTTTGATGTTCCCAAATTCAGGATGATTTTCATCATTTTTGTGCAGTCCCAGCCGCATCAGATGATGCCAAAGATTTTCTGCAAAATATAAGGCAACCTAAAGTTATGCAAGTAAGAGAAAACAAAGACACGAATGATGGGCAAACTAGAGGAAAAGCCGAGCAAAGCAAAACATGAATGATAGTCCCAGAAATTGAAAGCCATTGATCAGGATGTAGTTCAGTATTCCAGGCATGTTTAGTCAAAATATAAGATGGAAAATAAGAATTATTTCTTCTCATGTTGAATATATACAGTTTAGAGATTCAAGTAAGTATACCTTCAGAGAGTTTGCCCCCACCAAGGTGAATGATGCCAACAACAACAAAAGTAAAACCCGATGTGGGGGAGGAACGTGGATCCTCGACAAATTTTCTGTAGATATCTGCTGAGAGCTGGCTTATGATTATGTACGATTTTGCCTCCGCTGAAACTGTATGCAAGGAAATTGATGAGCATCAGTACCAAATGCATATCTACCAAGTACCCGAAAGGGGCTTGCAAGCATGATAGTGATGAAGCCAATATTGCTAACAAGAATCTATGCCAATATTGCTAACAAGAATCTATGCCAATATTGCTAACAAGAATCTATATAATATATATCTATATATAACAAGATATGAGCCAATAGAAGATAACAACAATAAATGTAGACCACATGTATCGAGCTCCGAGTTAAGGGATGAGAGCTGTGTTATATTCCACGTGTTCAGTAATATTCTATATCAGAGACGAATCCCAAAAATGTAAATGTCGGCCATCTTAAACCAATTAAAACATCAATTAGAAGAAGAGATTCTGAATCCAAAGGCAATACTAACAATCTCACACCAATTAAAACCAGAGATTCTGAATCAAAACACCATTTTGGTTACAAGAAATCCCACGAAGTAATTAAGAAAATGATGGATATATCAAAATTTAACAGGACTGCACCCTCTAATTAAGCAGGGGACACAAAGTAAATAAAGTAAAGCATTTTTCGAAACAAGAAATATACTTTATCCATATATCGCAGACTAAAAATGTATTTATTTCACCAAACAACATTCATTATATTTGTTATTCACCTTAGCATTGAAATGTTCTATTATTTTACCCGGCCATTTAATAAGTCTTTGTTACCTCCAGATTAAACAAAAATTAGACAAAATAAACACACTTGCACACTGACATTCTTCTCATGCTTATACAAGAAAGACAAATAAATAAATGATCATATGCTTGTGCGTGAATGAGCTTACGATGTGACTGTGAAGCACGGCCGGCAGCCCTGGGTCGCTGAAGCTCTCTCATTTCATAGCCAAAAATGGAGGATAGTTTGCGTTTCGCCTCATCGATTACGAAAGCAGGCAATGTCCTCTGCTTATATCCTTTCCTGGTTATCAACTGTGTCAGTTCCTCCCTTTTTATCGGACAATTTGAATTCTGTTCGTATTTGAAGAGAATGTAGCGAATCACTTCCCCAACTAATTTGTCCTTCTCCTGAGCCACGGACACGGACAGACAATCCAATCGCATAGATTTTCAGACACGAAAGCATCGCGAGCGAACAAGTAATACTGGAGGATAAATACATACACGAAACTTACATGCTCGGAGATGTCAAACTGAGAGAAGCTTTCATCGGGGTTCGACATTCTGTAGAATGGAATGGAAGGGTGTGTTCCTTTTCCCTTTCCTATTTCACTTAGCAAACAAAACCTCCCAAAATCTACTCACCGACGTCACAGGGCAGAGCGGAGGAGGGCAAGTGGCATTTGACTCTTGCTTTTACTCCTTAGTTAATCTCTTCCCATTCCAATTCCACAATTTTCGCCTCTACGCCAACGCTTACCGATAGCACAGGGGAATCTTGCTCGTCGACAGGGAACCAAAGGTCGGCGGCAAGATGTTATTGAACGGCATACTTCACCGGGCGGTGGCGCAGGAAAATGGATGGAGACGAAGAAGAAGAAGAAAAAGGAGGAAAAAAACACAAAAAACAGAGGAAGAAGGAGAGGGAGAGAGGGGAAGAACTTCACGGCGGCGCTGTGGTTGTGTAATGTGTTAGGGCACAAATTGGAAGTAAAATAAATAATTTAGTGGAAAAAAATGAATTTTTAATCTCAATATAATCGATCAAGATCAATTTTGATTTCAATATAAAAAATTCATCTAAATAATTTCAATTAAATTTTGTTCCATTATAAAAAATTTCAATCAATTTTGATTTTATTTTTAAAAAACTAACGGAAATTGCTGACGTGGATATAACGGAAGTGACGAGGCAGCCGACCTATAAACTACACAGCTATGTACAATTATACAGCTATGTACAATTATACACCACCATGTTATTACATGGCTATATATATTTTAGTATATAATGTACAATTATACATGATCATGTTGTTACATGACCATATATATTTCAGTGTATAATTATTAATGGTCACGTTGTTACAAGACTATGTATAATTCTAAACTGCTAAAATGGAAAAATATCAATAATAATCATAATATAATTAAAATGTATCCATTTTAGTTCAAATATAAATATTTTTGGAGTAGGTTCTTTTGGAAGATTTTGTCTAAAATTCTATTATTTACCAAAATATCTCTTATTAGTTGTGTAATTGGATATTTGTAAGAGAAAATTTTTTAATGAATAACAAAATTTTAGACAAAATCTTTCAAATAAATATATCTTATAATTTTTTATATTTGAATTAAAATTGATAAATTTTAATTATATTATGATTACTATTGATTTTGTCCATTTTAACTATATTAACTATTTTAAATTCAAAATAATTTTTTTTTTAAATACATGGTCGTGTAACAACAAAGTCATGTATAATTACACACTGAAATATACATGGCTGTGTAACAATATGACCGTGTATAATTGTACATGGCCGTGTAGTTTTCAGGTCAGCTGCCACGTCACCTCTGTTATGTCCACGTCAGCAATTTTCGTTAGTTTTTTAACGGTTGGACAAAAACTTATTGAAATTTGTTATAATGAGACTAAAATTGATGAGTTTTTTATATTGGGACCAAAATTGATAAATTTTTGTTATATTGGAAAAAAATTGATTTTTTTTCCCTATTTTATTATAATATATAAGTAAAAATTATCATATATTTATGAAAATTAATAATACTAATATTAATAAATAATTACTAATAATTATTGGGGCACTTTGATCTAAATCCATGTTACACAAAATATATTTAAGTTCAGTCCCTACAGATTATTTCAAGACACTGCACTCCCTACTTTTGTCAAATGTTTACAAATAACTCCTTACTACCCATTTTGCCCCTGAAATAATGAATTTATGTAACGAATATATTATATACTTCCGCTGAGTTTACATAAACCTACATTATCTACTTACGTACTCGAAAATTGTCGTGCTATACAAATTTAATTGCAGAGCAATGTACCTTGGTTTATTATTTATATATTGTAATTTGTTACAAAAACAACACATAAAAATAACCGAACCAAATAATTACAGACGATCTCAATCACACCGCTACTGCAATGAAAATTTTTATTTTTTTTTATCAAATACCAACCGAGATGATAAAACAAAAGTGTACAATATGTTCAAAATATCGAAGAAGATTTCCTCTCCCAAACGAAGTTCAAGAACTAAGTTAAAATTTTGTATTTGGTAAAATTGATATTATAGTTTTGTGCTTTCAATTTCGTGGTATACTCTAATAACTTTGTCATGTACCTTTATATGGTTTTTACAAGTTTAGGTGCCAGTCGAGCTTACTTCGACATCGTAATCCACCATCATTTCAAATATATGTTATTTTGATATGCTTTAAAGTGTAAATAGCTTTATTGTATATAAAATTAAATTTATTTTCATGTTATTAGGTTTAATTTTGTCATAAAATGGTTGCGATATGAGATGGGTGGAGTTCGATCTTTTTTTTTCAAATACCGTTGGTGTCAATTTCTTATGTGGAATGACTTCTGTAAGTACTAAAGGTGTTTGTTGATATCTCTATTACATTGGTGGTTGTTCATGTATTTATTTTTCCGATTTATAAAAGTTCTGCTAGTTTTTACTAGTGTATGTTAATGCCTCCAAATGCTTTTGGTTACAACAAATGGTATATAATGTGTGCTCTGGTTTTAAATTGGTGTTCTTCTACAAGAAAATTATGTACCTATATTGTTATATCATAAACTTGAATCGGTGTTGTATATACTTTTGCAGATTTATGTCTTTGTTTCAAATATTATCAGGTTTAAGGTAAGAGACATGATTGTGGGTCACTAGTATGTATATTCTCTGAGAGTTATGCTTTGTGCAACACGAAAACTTACCCACTTAGCAGATGAGCTACCGAATTTGACGATGTCAAAACATGTCGAACAAAATTTATTGTGAAAATTTGATCAGGAAGGCTGTCTAATATCATTTATCAGATTTGTATTTTTATTTTTATACATGAAATGAGAACAATTGAGGTATGAAGCATATGGTTGTCAAATTGGGGTAATAAGTCATTGATGTTATATTTTGTCAAAAATTTTAAGAATAATTGTAATTTCTAATTTAACAAATGACATATGCGGTTCTCCATAAGTATGGACTTTTGTATTAGAGATATGTATACACAAAATTAAGAAATATACTTTGGTGTGGAAAATTTTATGGTTGAGTGTGGAGAAATCCCTAGATTTGAACAATATACCTCTAATAAAGATATATATTCATCATTTAATCAATTTATATACTTTTGACACGATTGCATGTACTCTTATTAATGAATAAATTTTATAAGTAAATATATATATATTCGACATGTAGTGAAAATATGTGTACTCACCATACTATTCTGAAGCACCGATGAACACGTTCAATGTACACCTCAATGACTAATACTTGTTGTATGGACAGTCCTAATATGTCTCATGTATAATATTTATTCCTAATACCTTGTAACAAATTTGTTCATTGGCGACTTTTTTCATAATTTACAAAATGTTGACATTGACAAAGCCAATAAAAAGTGTAAAGACCGAGACATCTCATCAGTTATCCGTTAATTCATCGATTCTTAGCATGATCCACAACATCATATGTTACATCAAATTTATCTTATGTGATATTCTCATACACCTTTGAATACATAAACAAATGGTCTAAATAATCGTTTCGGTAGTATTGGTTGATAGAAACCAATATTTGACGAAATTGCAATGATCTATTTAACTCGTAGTCGTATAAGCTAGTCATAATCATACCTGGGTGTCAAGAGACCCCTAAGTGAAATCTATATACCTCCAATTGTGATATTTATTCCTCCATTTCACTAAGTTACAGACTTCTAAATTAATTTAATGTACTTGTATTGAGGAATAAGTTTTATAAGTAATTTTATATATATTTGATGTATATTGATAAGATTTGTACTCACCAAATTGTTTTGAAAACAATGATGAATACGTGTCATGCATACATCATTAACTTTATTTCCAAGTCTAGCACCCCGGTGGGCCGATGGAACCTTCAGAGTATCCTTACTCGAATTAAAATTATTCTCAGTGGCATGCAGTTTCAGCTTTCCCACATCTTTCGAGAAGGCAACCAAGCGGCAGATTGGCTTGCGGACCAGGCTTGTGTTGCTAATTCGTCTCGTATTATTGAACCACACAATGTTACAGGTAAGCTCCGTGGATTTGTTAATATTGATAAGCTTGGGTTACCCTACTTCCGATTCCCTCGGAAATATCGATGATCCTATGGAGCATGAAGATCGCTGTCTGCAATTTCCTGGCTGTTGATCTAAATGACTTGCAACGAATGGATGAAGCAACCTGCTTGGTCGGTTGGTGACTCTCTATTGGAATTATTTTTTTGCATGGTTAGGAAGCCCATCTTTTGTATTAATGCTTGGGCTTTTCTTTTAAATAGGTTGTATAGTTGTTGGATGAAACCTATGTATGTGTGGGCCATTTTGTTTTGGTCTGGGCTTCATTTCTTTTTTGGGTTGGACAAAAAAAACCCTGTGGGAAAAATTCATAGTGAAGGAAAAAGATTACATCATTCCTGTATTAATGCGCTCCCCCTATTTTGGACTTTATTTGATGTCTTTCATCCGACGCATTCCAATTCCTTGCACCAGTTTGTTGAATATTGCAGTCGGTAGCGCCTTCGTGAATAAATCTGCAAAATTTTCAGACGATCGAATTTGTTGCACATCAATTTCGCCACTTTTCTGAATATCGTGAGTGAAAAGAACTTCGGAGATATGTGCTTTCTCCGATCGCCTTTAATATATCCTCCATTTAATTGAGCTATACAAGCTGCATTATCTTCAAATAATATTGTAGGAGGTAATACATTATCAGAAATCAAACCACAATTTTTTCTGAATATGATGAGTAATAGACCTCAACCAAACACATTCACGACTGGCTTCGTGAATTGCTAAAAGCTCAGCATGGTTTGAAGAAGTTGCTGTTATTGTCTGTTTAGGAGATCTCCAAGATATTGCGGTTCAACCACAGGTAAATAAATAGCCAGTTTGAGATTTTTCTTTGTGTGGATCAGACAGATAACCAGCATCAGCATAACCTATTAATTCATTTTGAGATTCACTTGAATAAAATAAACCGAGGTCATGAGTTCCTTGAAGATAACGAAAAGTGTGCTTGATAGTATTCCAATGGCGCTTTGTGGGGGATGCGCTAAACCTGGCCAGTAGATTTACTGAAAAAGATATATCTGGCCTGGTACAATTTGCGAGGTACATTAATGCGCCAATAGCGCTGAGATATGGTATCTCGGGGCCAAGTATTTCTTCATTTTCTTCTCTTGGCCTAAATGGATCTTTACTGGGATCAAGGGATATGACCACCATTGGTGTACTAAGAGAGTGGGATTTATCCATATAAAATTGTTTTAATACCTTTTGGGTACATGTGGATTGATGGATAAATATTCCATTGTTGACATGATCCACTTGTAATCCCAAACAATATTTTGTCTTTCCAAAATCTTTGATTTCAAATTCTTTCTTTAGGTAT